AATATGTAATGGGATCCCAATACATGAAGATGTAGTTTGTGATAAAAACAATGTAAAGCAGGCAGAAAGGATGGAGTTATATAAAAGCAAGTTTTCTGTATAGTATTGTACTTAAGTTAGTAGTCCCATAAACTATAATACCACATGTTATAGTGTTAATTGTTATACCAAGGAAAATTACTAAGAAAATAGAAACATCTTTTTAACACAAAAGAAGGAAAATATCATGCTTTAAATTCTATGGGATTAACTTAACATGTACACTATGCATCCAGTAGCAGTTTAAGAAAGAGAAAGAAAAGATAATCAAGGACATAACATCAGACATCTCCCAGCAACTTTTTTTTTTTCCGGAAGTATCTAACCAACAAATAATTAGAACAAGCACAGTTCACTCTGGTACCTGATAACTAGATACACAATTAATATACCTTTCCAGAAGTTAGCAACTATAAATGTTTTTAAAATACACAGAAGAACAATTTCAGAATCATGAAGGAAGAGATATTTTAAAATAAAAAAGAAATCCCAAAAGCCACATAAAGATTTTTAAACTCAGATTTTACAAAATGAAAAGCATTTTAGGGCTGGGGATTTAGCTCAGTGGTGCAGTGCCTGCCTGGCAAGGACGAGGTCCTGAGTTGGATTCCCAGTACCCAAAAAATAAACTAATTAAATAAAATAAAACCAATAAGACGCATTCTTATATTAAGAAAAAGCCCACTTCACTATAAATTAAAAGACAACAGATTTGAATTAGCCACCTAGAAAAGTATTACTATATTAAGACATCGCACGAAAAATTAAACCCGTCTTCAGACAAAGCTACTAACATGCAATTCACATAAGAAATCCAAATGGAATACTAAATCTTATTATTTAGTTTATTTCTGTCACATCTATTTTTGTTCTTCTTTTCCTTCTTCTGAATTCTTTTAGGTTAATTAGATATTTTAGTAACTTTATTTTACTTCCATTGTTGATTTCCTAATAAACTGTTTTGTTCTGGTAGTTACTTTAAGGTTTATAAGTATGGGGTATGATCAGAATATATGGTGAACATTTAAATTTTTAAAATCTATTAAAGAAAAAGACACATTACCATTAATCCCCTTCCAAATACTCCCCTTTACTTCAAACACATTTATTTCGTCTTTCTTGCGTCTTTCTGAAGCAGTTCTGAAAGTACTCTTTTGTAAGTATTTTTACCAGTCCTGATAAATATACAGTAAATTCTGCTGCCCAGTACCATCCCATGGAAAGGCAGGCTCATAAAAACATTACAATGTGTCTTCATCAATCTTATTCTCCAGATCTGAAATTGTGCAACTTCTGGCTCTACCCAAAGACAAAATTCGCATGAAATATTTGGAATCAATTAAGGACATCAAGGTAGTCACATAGTGCAACTAAAGACACTCATGAAAAAGGACTTCCAGAACTGCTTCAAAAAGTGCAAAGAATGATGTGATGAGTGTATTGGAAGTTAGGAGGGAGAATTAACACCAATGTGTCAAGGAGATTAATGGCAATATGTCTTGTACTGTAATTATCTTCCTTTTATTTAAACAAACATTCACTATATTTTTCAATCCCACCTCATACACATTTTAATGTATCCCAGTTCACCTCCAAGTGATTTTATACTTCTTTATGTGTAGTTTAATAATTTTACAATGTATACTTCTATTCCCCCAACTTTACATTATACTTTTCATACAGTTTACTTATACAAATGTTACAAACCTCACAATACATGGATGTTTTACTTCTTGTTTCTTGTTTTTTTTATGTATTGAGCTTGTATCTATGGAATTACAAGTTTTATTCAACTTCAGAAAAATGGCTATTATTTTTTTCTGCCCATCCCTACTCACATATATTAGGCTATTTCAAATTGCACCATACAGTTCACTGGTGCTCTATTCATATTTTTTAAAAGTATTTTTTCTCTGTGTGCTCCACTTTGGATAATTTCAATAGCACTAACTTTGGTTCACTAATTTTCTCTGTTATCCAATCTGGCATTATCCTCATCCCCTCAGTGGATTCTTTCCTCTCTGACATTGTAGTTTTCATCACTAAAATTTCTACTGGGTTTTGTATACTTCCTCATGTCTACTTCACTTTTGCAGCATATGGAATGTTTTATTATAGCAACTGTTTTAATCTTCTCGTCTAATATGTGCGTCAGTTGCATATCAGTTTCAGTGAGTTGGTTTTTCTCCTGATTTTGAGGTCATGTTTTCTTCCGAGGAATCTTTGATTAGATGCTAGATGCTGTGAATGTTATCTAGTTGGTCTTGGATACTTTTTCATTCCTATGAATATTCTTGGACTTTGTTCTGAGACATCGTTAAATTACCAGGAAACCAACTGGTTCTTTTGGATTTTTGCCTTTACAATTTGCAAAGGCGGCCACAGCTTTGCTAGGCAGCTTTCATTCCAGGGCTAATTATTCCCCAGTACTGAGACAGGACTCTGGAGGACACTCATTCAATGTCCCACGGTATCATGGGTCTTCCAGTGTGGATGGTAGGAAAACCCTGGTTTTGCACCTGGCACTCTCCCACTAGGTCTCTCACATGGTTCTTTGCTGGTCTTTCTTCACATGCAAGAACTGATCAATAGCAACTGAATGCTCACAGGGTGTCCTCTGCAGATCCCCAGAGCCCTCTACCGAATAACTCCTCTCTGGCACTCTGCTCTGCAAACTTCAGCCACTACAGGTTCCCAGACCCTCAGTTTAGTCTCCTAAATTGAGCAGATGTGCCAGGCTTTGCCTCAATTCCCCCTACCAGTGCTATATTCTAGAAACTTCTTCCAGGAGGAGGCTCAAGCAATCTTACAACTCACTGTTACAAGTATCAGGTCAAGGTAGGAACAATAGACATTGAATTAGACCAGATTTGTTGATATCAGCCCCCTATTAGTTTGGTTTGTTAGCTGAGATATAATATTAAGGGTAGCCTATACTTAAAGTGAAGCTGGAATGCCAGACTATCTTGGTATCCTGTAGAGGAAGGAATCTAAAGGCTTAGGGAGATTGGAACAATGTTAGAGTGCATTTATCATGTCAGATGTCATCTATCCCAGGAAGATCGAGGACACATTTTTCATCACAGCTACGAGAAATAAATCCGTGAGAGTCCCAGTACCCCAAGAAGACCTCTATGGAGACTCCACTCAGTAAGTCAGAAATTGCTGAGGGGATTTCTGTGCACCCAGCAAACTCCATCCAGTGAGGGTGACGGTATCCCAGGGTGGCAGGGGCCAAGTGGTGGTGCTTAGTCACCAAGGGCCATGTGGAGGTGTCTGCAGGCCCAAAGCCACAATCAGAACAGACTGCCTCAGAGGTTTGTGGTATAGGCTACAAGAGGCTCTATGTCTCCAACTCAGCTCTTATACACACTTACCTATTTAGGTTGTTAAGATTTAGTGACAAAAGTAAGCCAAAAAGTCAAATTCCTCAAACAATATAACATAAAATGCAAAAAATACTAAAAACACTACTAGATCTATATGATACTCACATTCCTATAGACCACTTTCCATTATTGATACATATGACAGCACACGGTATCTCACTGACTCTTTTGAAAAATAGTGTAATCAGAGGTATATGACCTGATTCCTAATTTGGTATCCAGTGCAGTGTAGAACTCTTAATATTCAGTGCAGGGGAGATCATTGCTTCAATCAGAAAAGACAAGGAGCGCACATAAAGACAGTAGAGCAGGAGCACAGAAATACACATTCTTTATGGACATAGCTCTCTTGCTTGCTTTTAGTGTCTGAAAAGGCATCAGCTTCTTGATCCACAAGCTGAGACTGTTCCAAAATAATCTATCTGGGAGCAGGTCAGGGTGTGGGAGTATACGGATGAGTAAGACGGGCCAAATGTTGATGTTTGTTAAAGATGGATGAAGGGTACACAGAGATTCATTGTATTAGTCCCTCTACTTTTGGGTGTATTTGAATATTTCTCTATAAAGACATTCATTAAAGGGAAATTTCTTGTATGAGCTATAAAACAGGGGAAGTACAACTGAATTCACTACCCACCTCTTTTCCCCAACACATTTTCAAGATGGCATGGCTATTCTCCTGGAGGAGGTGCCTTCCACAAGCAAACTTGCTTGTTTTCTCTTTCCATTAACATTTAGTACATGTCATTATCTCCCAAGTCCAGCCACTTAAAAACAAGGTTGTAAATAATTGATAACACAAAAGGAAAAAACTACCATGCTGTCATTTTCATTACCCATCAAGACCTGGAGGATCTCTTCCTCCGATCCTGACACACACACATCAATATAGTAATGCATACCCTGAGAAGAACAGGCATGCAAATCAATAGACCCGGGTCCATCTGGGAGACTCTGCAGAGAGAAAAACCACGGTCCTCTCTCCATCTCCCGTGTGGCCTCTCCTTAGCACCATGCCCAGCAACTCCTCTATTCTAGAAGATAGTTTTTGTGTACCTTCACAGAACCTCTGTCTCCAAAAGCACACAAAAAGCTAGCACTTCTTAAACTCAGATACACCATGTGCTGCTCATGTGGTGCTGTGTGAGCATGTGTGTAAGCATCAACAGGCCTTAAGAACTAGAGAAAAGGCCGGCACCCACACTTGGAGAATATGTTTGCTCACAGTACATCCTCAAGGCAGAGCACCAAAACTGATTGTTTTTGTGTGATTTTGTAAATGTATGTGTGTTTGTTAATACGCTTTCATTCTTTTATCTTTAAATTAAAAATTAAAAAAACCCAAAGGATGTGATATGAACACCCTAAGAGAACACTCAGCGAAAGCTCAGAAGTACAACCTGGAGGATTCACCATGGTTCCTAAGACCCCACCAGCAGGCAGTGGCTACCAGGCCTGCATCCTACTGCCCACCAAGAAACCAGGATTCAGTCTGCCATGGCCTCTGTCACGCTCACTCCTCTGCAGGCAGAGCCCTGGCCAGGGTCACCTTGAGATCCAGGTGTCACTTACCACAAGGGAGAGAGGCCTCTTCCATGAGACGACCCCGATGAGCCCTGACAGCAGCACCTGGAATGACAGGTAGGACACAAAGGTGAGACACTCTAGAAACCACTCAGGAGCATCACGTCAACCTCACCCTTCCCATCTGGTAAAGGGTGTGCAGGGTCCCACACAGCACAGGAGTGGCTGACAATAAGCGCTGTTCCCCTTCTAGATGTCCACAGCCTGCAGCTGCCCCGGGAGGCACAAACGGCTTCTGAAGCCATCAGGGCATCACAAAGCGCACTGTATCACACACTCTGGGGGGCCCGAGAGGGATGAGAGTCCTAAAAGACGCTCCCCTGGGCGGCTCGGTCCACCTTGTCCTCTGTGTTATCTGCAGGTGCCTTTTAAGGTCACAGACAGGGCTGAAAACCCTCCCTGGGGGATGAAGGAAGCTAAACCCACTCCTCAGCCACCTGGCCACCTGCGTGGCTGTGCCCACCACACAGCCTCCTCCTCTCTCTAGGCCCTTTCGCTCCCAGCCAATTCTCCACCTTACTAGTGAGCAGTGTCTTCTTACAAGGTTCTACAACTTTCTATAGCCTGATCCTGAGCAGCGCACCCCTTTCCCAGGGCCAAGCCATGCCCGCCCTTGGCTTGGGTCCTCCCAGCAGTCATCTTCCCCTCTCAGTTCCTCCTGTAGTCCTCATCACATGGATGTGCTATGCACTGTCTCTCTTAGAGGAACCACCGCACAGTGTTTGTCCAGCTCGAGGGCTTCCTTTCTCCCAAGTCCAGGCTCCTGAGTCAGGCACTGGCTTGATCCCTACATGCTTGGTCTCCTTGCATCCAGCTATGCCCATATGTCCAGCTATGCCCAGCTATGCCCACCTACTAACAGAATCTCTTCTTCCCAAGACCACGCAGGAGGCCATCAAATGCAGCAAAGTCCCACTTGAAAAGTGGCAGAGGGCCCCATCACAACACCTTGTAGGAGGCTTTTCAAGTGGGCACTTTGCTGTCCCACCTTGCCAACTGCAGGGCTGGCCACGCCTCCAGGCTTCTGCAGGGTCACTTGCTTGATGTTCTTCCTATTACCCGGATGCTCTTCATCTCAGCCTCCCTCTAGGTTCCTCCTCCCTTTGTCAAGATCCAAGATCTTGGTCTCCTGTGTCCTTTGTCTCCTCTCCCCATGGCTCCCTAGGAGACTTAGCTATCATGAGGCCCCTGGAACTCCATCCTCTGGTGTCTCCTGCAGCCCAGAGCTCTTCCCTGAGTGCTGAGCATCACACTGTCTACCTAGCTCTGCTCCTGCTGCCTGCCACTCGCCATCCATCATGCCCAGAAGTGCATCTCCTGCGTCCATCTCCCAGACCCAGTGTTCCCCTTAGAATCTCAATCTGACCTCCCTCCTGGTCACTCCAACCCACCCTCAAATCCTCATCCCTCACAGCCAACCAGATCCAGGGAGGGTTAGGAAGCCACGGCTTGCTTTTCAACAGGGCAATGTGTTTGGAGGACCCATTATAAGTAAGGTGCTTGGACATGAGATCTCCTGGGAAGAACTGCTCAGACCCGCCACGGAGGGGTAGGGTCAGGCAGTCAGTGACCTGTTGAAAGACCTTGGCTGCATTTCCCCTGGACTCAGAAGGGATTGACCAGATCCAAGAGGAGTATGCTACTGAACTGACAGTCTCATAAGGTCACAGATTTCCGTTCACCCCCACTCCTGCCACCTCTGCAGTGTGCAGGACCAGGTCTTACCCATCAGGTTCTACCCACTGTCAGGGATTCTCCAAACACAGTGCTGACAGTTATACACAACCACTTCTCATATCTCCAGCCTCCACTCTTAAGGACATTGCCCAGTCTCCCTTTCCTTGTATTCCAGCTTCAACACTAGGGAAATCCTTGACTCATATCTCCTACATCTCTTTACAGCTGTCTCCTAATTCTTCTTCATAGCACCACTAGAATCTCTGGACTTGTATGCCCAATGCGTGAACAATCAAGACAGCTTCTCAGAAGTCAAATTCATCACTTTCAGCAGATACACCATGCCCTCCAAACCATTTTGCAATCAGGTTATAAAGCAATTCTTCAGATGGGTATCTTGCTAGAATGCTCTGCAATATCTCATGCTTGACAATTTGGAGTCTAAATTCATCTCTCCATCTCCAAATCTTTCTCTTTTGGCCAACTTGAACATTTTGCCAAGAATGGCATCATTTTCTGAGCTCACTGTGTGTTTTAGTGGCCCAGCCCTGTCAGTCATAAAGCTGAACCAGTTCTTCCAGCTGTCTCTCTGTTTGATGTGTCCCTCTTTCTTGTCTATGCAACAGCACTTGTCACTCAACTCTGCCCTCAGGATGAACTGTCCTTATAAGAGGCCTTCCCCTGTCTTTCCCATCCCACCATGCATGTGCGTCACACAAGCATCCAGAGAGATACGGCTGCCTGCAAGCCAGAAGGAAACCTTCACACAGCTCACCTCACCATGCTGGAACCTTGACCTTGGACCTTGCAATCTCCAGAGCTGTGAGAAAAAAATTTTCTGTCACTTAAGCCTTGCAGCCTACAGGACTTTGTTAGGGCAGCCTGTGGCTTCTATCTAGGTGTCCCCCAAGTGCTCACATGTTCAAGGGCAGACCTCTGGGAAGAGGACCGGACTGTGTGGAGATGTAGCTGACTTGCTCTTAGCAGATGGGCCTGGTCCTGACCAGGGAGTGGGTCACTGGCATATCTCCCTCCCAGCTCCTCCCTTCTTCCTGTTTCCTGACTGCCAGGACCTGAGTAGTTTTCCTCCATCCGGGTCCCTCTGCCATGATGCTTTGATGTTTAAGTCTACTGATCATGGACTGGGACTTCTGAACTGTAAGCCAAGATAAACTTCTCCTGTAACTCGTGGGTGTCTGGTATTTTTGTGTCAGTGATAAAGAACATGACTAAGGCACAGCCCAAGCTGACTAAGACTATGTTGATCAGCTTTCTATCAGAATAACAAAGTATCCATGACAATTAACTCATAAGAAGGTTTATTTGGGGGTCACACGTCCGAAGGTTCTTGCCCATAAATGGTTGGGCCCAAAACACAAGGCAGAACCAGGCTATTCATGTCATGGCCAGAAAGCAGAAGACAGAAGAAGGGGCCGGGATCTCACAGTTCCCATAAAGGACCACCTCCAATGGCTTAAGGGTGTCCCACAATGCCTTACCTCCCAAAGGCTTCACCCCTTCCCAAGAGCATCTCAACCTGGACACTAAGCCTTTAACACTAGGACCTTTAAGGGACATTTGAGACTCAAACCATTGTTCTACAATATCCACATTCTTCCTACACCCCAGAAACAACAGACTTCCCTGCCTCTCCAATACAGAAACTCTGGCATCAGCTTTAAAGGCAGAGGGCCCCATCACAACACCTTGTAGGAGGCTTTTCAAAGCCTGGGTGCTGGCTGCTTCCCCCTCTCAGGATGCCTGCTGTGGTCCACTTGAAACCGGAGATTAGGAAAAAAAAGCACATCCTCGAGAGCCACAGTAGGAAAGAAGTGTAAAGCCATTGCCCTGAAACTATTAGGTTTAGCTTGAACTATTTTTGCTCAGGTCCAGCAGCCAGTGAAGATTATACTGCATATTCTGACACTTCAATAATTCTGCAGGTTTATTTTGTACCACTCCTGTGAGGAAACAGGGTCATGAATCTAGTTAGCTGTGAAATTACTATCCTGAAATCTCTGTCCCATTTAATTTACCAGTTTTGTTATTCAAAGCCCATAGTTTAGAATGAATACAGGGAAACTGAAGAGGGCCACAATACAGTTCCATGTAATTAAACAGTTCGAAAGAAAAGCCAAGGAAAACAGGAAAGGCATGATGTTGCTCAGAGGAGGCTTAACTTTTCAAGCACTCTGAGCTGTTATAAGGACGCAAATGCTTTCTTTTCTCCACTTCCCAATCCAGCCTAGCAGAGGCAAGAGACGAAATCAGAAATGAGATAGAACTTCTGCTGTCAAGGGTGATGAAAGAGGATAACAGACTGCCAGGAAGTAACGGCCTCGTTAGAGCCAAAGACCTTTCCTTTCCCATTTGATTACTGCCACTGCCTGGACACAGGGGCTTGGAATAAATTAGCCTTTTAAAGTCTTGGTCTATAGCATTGAGAAATTCTTTCTGTACCTAAAATTACAAATTTTCTTCAGGTCATCCAATCTTGTCCAAAGGCAAGTGGTAAGGCAACATTTTCGGTAATGAAGCAAGCCCTTCCAGAACACAGACTTGAAAGTCAGTGGAGTTACTGTCGTGAGGCACACGCTCAGTGTGCCCACTTGCTCCTGGGGTGCCAGCTTAGCACCAAGGTGCCACTGTTCAGTGTGTGTCTGGAGAAACAGCTGCTGCAGTAATGGAGTGGATAGCACTCTGAGCTGCTGAGATTGAAAGAAGCCTACAGAACCCTGTCTTCCAGAGCCTCTGGACTGCACAGCTTCCTCCCCCTGCATATTCTTCAGCCTCACGGAGAGCTTAGCCCTTCTATTTTACTGCCATTTCCTTTTCTCTGTGTGCCTTTCTTGTCTGGGTCTCCCTGGAACCACATAATAAGGATAGATGAGGTGTGCAGCCCTTCAGTGCTCGGGTCCCCCTCTGAGGCCCCGTTCACCATCACCCCACCCTGTCCAGTGTTCTGCTGCGTCCCCTTGGGACAATTCTCTGCTCACCATTTCCTCTTCCACATTTCGCTTCTGGCCTGAGAGTGGGCTGTGCCCACTCCCCATAATCCCTTTCCCCTTGGTGTGGGCTGTGCCATGCATCAAATGCATTACACCCCCAAGGAAAGTCTGTTCTCCTCTACTCTCCCCATGGTAGAAAAAGATCTCTAGAGCTTTCCTTCTTTCCTCAAGCAGTAGTAAAACTATACAATGATGCCAAAGATGAAAGGAAAAAGATCAACTAACATTAAAGTGTTTAAACATATTCTAGGGCTGTGGGTACAGCTCAGTAGATCTCTTGCCCAGCACATACGAGGCCTGCGCTTGACCCTCAGTACCACATACACACACAAATTGTAAACAACTCATGAACTAAGACAA